TGAACAGCTGACGGCAGAGTAATAAAACCGCAGCCATTATTTCACATGTGTTGTTTAGAGGGCCGGACCTGGTAGAAGTCACCGAAGCGGCACGAGCAATTGGTTGCCATTGAATAGAAACAAAACCTGCTTTGGGGTTCGTAGTGGAATAGGAGGGTAGTCAGGGTTAACAGCAAACTTATGCTCAATACAAGAATAAAATTTTTAGAATCCAATGAAATAAACAATAAATAACGAACAACAAATGTAGTAAGCAAAGGATAAGGGAAGAATTGAAGGTAAACAATTCCGGTTTCAAGTTACCCCCACCCCACCCCACTCCATTACTGGGTGAACTGGGTGAATGAGGAAGGATGAAAGGAGAAGCTTCTTCCAACATGATTTGCATTTCCTTTTGTGGGATGCGCCCTGCATCCAATTCTAATTTAGATCGTCTTGAAAGCGTATACCGCACATACTCTGACTTGTAGTGGCTAGCCGATGTACAAGTCGGTGCCTTTATGCTCCCATACGAGTCTGGTACCACTTAGCCAACTTCCGAAAAATGATAGTCCATATCAATGTGGGCAGATATCATTCCAGTTCGAACCTTGGACCATATGCATGTGATATGCGCCACTTGCCGTTATACCATTTCCGCCCAGAGAAAACAATAAAGAAAGCGAATCAATAAATAAGTCGTTCTGGCCACTTTGTCTCATTGTATCAGGGTAATTAATGACGTCTTATCAAGGCGATATCGAGTCTTTTCTCTCTTGTTATCTATCGGGTTTTGATAACTTCACACCCAAAAACGAAAACTCGAAAAAAACTGGAAACGTCCTGAAATGGCGATCACGACGAATTGATCATGAATTATATACCTAGAAAAGTCGATGTCAGTGTTAGCTTCGAAGTATAAAATATCCAGTGGGAAACCTCATAGAGATTTTCGGAATAGGCTGTGGACCCAGTTTTTTTTTTTGAGTTTTTTCTTTTTTCGTGTTTTGTTGTCACCCAGTGACAACAAAACACGAAAAAAGACCTAGTTCCACTAAGCCTTTCATACTTCTATGTAATAAAAGAATAAATAAAAGAATGAAATGTGAAATATGTAACATTTGCTTTGTTAGTGATGCTGATCGCTACACGTGAAGGCACGTATTTCTGTCTAATGATACCGAAACTTCCTTGGGAGCCCGATAAGTATTCATACCTCTTGACTTCCTTCAGGGAGCCTTGTGGGACGGAAGCGGTGTAGTGGCAAGTGGCACACTATAACACACGCACGGTCAGGGGGTTCGAATCCCGTATCGATGCCCGCCTAGGCCAACCAAGCCTTCCATCCCTNAGACTCGTCTGGGAGGATAAAAGCACTGACTTGCACATCGGCTGGCCACCGCAAGTGATCGCATGGGCCACATACGCACTCGCAAAATTGTGTAGTAGCAATAGGAGCACTAACCCACACTCATTTTCCGGGATCGAGGATAGAGGATACCCGTGCATCGAGTAGACACCGCAAGCCATTGCATAGGCTGCATACACATTCAAACCGCTAGTACCAATCTGATTGAAAATCGAGTGCGGGTCGCATTCCAGAAACAAGATTGTTTCGAGTTGAAAGACATCATCTCTAAAGAACCAACACCTCACTTCAGAGCCGACTTGAAAAAAAATTTATCTGGGAAGTAGCGCCTTCTCAGTCGAATTCTGGCAACATTCAAATACAATGTTGTGCAGACCCTGAGGAGGCTTTTCGAAGCGACCTCCAATTTCTAAGACCAAAAAAATTAATCCAAATCCTGCCACCCATCCTGGGTGATTGCTGTCACAACTGCCTGGCAAGGTTGAGATGCTCGGTACCACAACAGTCTGAGAGGACAAAGCTCCGGCTTGTACACCAGCCGCCTTTCGCAACTCATTGTATAGGCCACGCCTCATTTGGAAGTTTTGAATTTCGCCGATTGATCTGTTTTCAATGTTTTCTTCAATAACAACCAAAAAGCATCATATTGACTGTATCCCGCAGGGCCGTGGAAGTTGATTGGTTGCATATTCACGGCCCTGCGGGATGCAGTCTAGCCGACAAAGATGAAAAGAAACTGGTTCCCATGTCTACTCCACCACTTCCACGTCGTCCTTCTACGGGATTGCGCTAATAAGTGCCGTATATAGGCCACCACCTCAAGGTTCATCGAATTCGAGGAAACAACAATTTCAATGGGGATGTCTGAATAGAGCAATATTGCATTCGAATGTGTGATGTATTGGTAGAGTCGTGGGGGAAAATTCATGAGTCGCCACCAAAAACCACAATGGAGTAGCTCTGAACCCAATCCGAGAAAGCATTGCGCCTAATTTTACTTGGGAAAGCGATTAGGCCGCTGGAAGTTGTGACACCTGCTTCGAGATTCCTTTGTACACCCTAACGACTTTGTTAATAAAACTACCTACGAGGAGGTTGACAAATAACCCGAGTGGCTAAGGTTTTGGACAGTCTGCTGTTCTTCGTAGCCTGAGAGAATGAAATTGATTCATTATGCTGTCCGACCAAATCTCCATGATCCCTCTCTAACCCGAATTAATCATAGCACAATTTTGGACTGATAGAACTCCGTATCTGCCTAATTTACTAGTTCAATTCTATGAACGATGGTACAGTTAAGCTGTTCAGAGATCAGCTCCAGAACTCAGTCGACAAAAAACATTTTCATTCACTTCACTTTTGCTGAAGGATCGTAGAAGCCGTTGAATGGGCGGTTAACCCTTGAACTCATCCCCTCAGGGACTGCCAGTGACTGTCAAAGAGTCCCATTTGATACCGAGTAGGCAGCAGGCAATAGGCTTCCTTCCCATCCCTCTGTATCGGCAGAGAGATCTGAGTACGAGCGATTTTTTTTCATTACTATACTCGATGGAAAACAAGTAGGCGGACGAAAATGGGATCAAAGCCAAAACTAAGGGGAAGGGCGGGATGAAGTTATCGGCCCCATCGTTTGAAAAGTTCCAGATAAAGGACAATTGGTAGCCAATTACCTATTGTTGCTCACCTTGCTCATGAAGGGAGTGTGACGTGCGAAGAGGCTTAATTATGTGCGATGCATATGAGATACAGAGCAAACAGAAGGGAGAGAGTTTGGATGGGAAGAGGGTCCCGGTAAGCAGAAAGCCTCTGATATGTCCGGTTGGGGGTCAATGCATGTTGATAGGACACGATTTCAATAGGATCCACGAACGGCTACAATGAGTAGATTCGCTGGCCATGTGGGAACTAACTCGGGTGATTGAAAAATGTTCAGATAATATCCTTCAGAAAATGGAACTTTCTAAACCTTCAAGTTAGCTTCCCAATCGGGAAAGGTTTCCCTTGTTTCGTTAATTCCCAAAAAACCCACAATCACGATTCAGATGAAGGCCGTTCTTATAGGGCAGCGTAATCCTAGGGCTACCGGATCCACTGTGTCATCGTTTCCACAATAAGCGGCCTGCTGATTAGTGCCCGACCCGGGAGCAGGGAGATTGTCGTGGCAGCGTACCTTTCCAGGTGTTGATCTGTCGTTGACAGCCCACTCATTTCTCATCCACGTAGTTGTTTTGTCACGCGACCGCGGAGACATTGCGCAACCCCACCAGGGGTCAAAAGGTTCACGCTTGAAAAACATTGTTAGCATCGCGATGGGATGTCACTGCCAATGCCGACAAGGCTGTGGGAATCGTAGAAAGGGGGAGTGGAGGGTGGGACGGGGGTTGGAAGTTTTCAAGGGAACTTTTTTTGCAGTACAAAAGAAATTAGAATGATAATATGCTCGGCGATAGGATAACTTTTGCAGAATATAATAATTACCCGATGATAGCTTCGGCCGCCTTGTAGAGCTGGGGACAAGGGGCTATGGATAGGGAAGAGAGGATTAGAATATGGGTCGATGTTCTTGAGTTCAAAATGGATGGTAGGGCTTGGGGCCAACAAGGGTCAACTAAAGGTAACTTCAAGAATGGACTCAGTCATCAGAGATAAACTCTTTGTACAGACAGCCACTGAATGCAGAGGCATTGCCATCTCGCTTTCTTCATTCAGATAGAAGTTGTGGACAAATCTGGATACTGTAATTAAACAATTTTGTGCTGTATATATGTATGGTGTGTGTAAATCGTAAGAGAACAAGTACTAATGAAAGTAAATACTTCATTCATAATAGGACAAGAACTGATGATGAAAGACTGAGTATGCAACACAAGATAGGGTTCTCAGAAAGAAAAGAAAGACACAGAAATACACGGAGATCACTGCAGGATTTCATGGTTGTAAAATTCAAAGTTAAGTCTGTAAAAGAGTTCAAGTAATTTAATCAAAAAGAGATCATTTGGGGAACTCGGAACGCAGCTAGATATTTGTACCGGAATCTTTGGGCGTTTCTGCCACCGAATATCATTGATTGAATAGTTGAAGGAGAATCTCAGTAGGTAATCACCGAAGTGATGTATACAGATATGTAGGGCCGATTATCACGAAGTTTTAGCTGCAAATTCAATACAACCCTAGTGAAAGGAGAGTCCAGCGGAATCCCCTACATACTTGCCCAGAATCTACTAAAATGCTCATTCTTTGAAACAAGATTGAGGATACACTCTTTTTAGGTTACGGTAAGTTTTTGCAGGTATACAGCTGGAAAGAATTACTAGGATAACCATGATAATCTCACTCCAATACAGACATACAGCATTAGTTTGACGAAGAACGAATTGTTAAAGAAGGCACAATATCCACATTGAAAGTGCTGCTGAGTACCGATGAGGCCAAAAGACGTCCCGAGAATTGTCGCATTCCGATTCGCTTACACCTACAAATAAGTGAAGCTTTAGTAACTAAGTAATTTAACTGTCGGCAGAAAGTCTGCAACAGCAATAGGCATGGTCCCATGAAGGACCTTTTGAGCTATTCAAAAGAATCCGTAAAAGGATGAATTCTTCATCAACGACTCTTGTCTCAAACCTTCATAGTACATGGTCCTCAAAGCAGATTACTTTGAACCTTTCTGGGCCCATAGTCTGATATCGCTCACTTCACTTACCAAGAAATTCTGCGGTTGGATTGGTTGGTTACCAGGATGTCGTTGTAAGTTGTCAAAACCAGAAAGAAATCGTTGAACTTGAGGTAAGCGCAGAAGCACTTGCTCATCTGGTATATCATCGAATCCATATTTCTGCAAAACTTCCATTTATGTAAGATCGCAGAGTTTACATCCAGCCGACAAAAGTGCAGCCATATTTCTCGCAGTTCTCCCTGGTTTCTTGAGACGATTTTTCTTACATTTTTTTCCTCCTATGAAGTAATCAACGAAGACATCAGCNCAGTTCTCCCTGGTTTCTTGAGAAGATTTTTCTTACATTTTTCCCTCCTATGAAGTAATCAACGAAGACATCAGCTTGTTAAATACCGTAGGAGCGACATTCTCACTTTTGAACCAGGTAGTGCAAGGGGGCGCAGTTTCACTGAAAGGCCCAGGACCCTAGTCGATCTGTGATAACTTTTAAGAGGAATCACCAACTGTTTTGATTCTTTCAAGCTCTGGGGAAGGCGATCTTGGGATCATCAGATTTACATTGAACCTCCTGAAGAGCTCAGGCTAATTCGATCGAAATTTCTAGCTAATTTCTCTCTGCAGTCCAATGAAGTACATGAGAAAGTGAAGAAAGTACTATTCAGAGCTGTGAATGGTACAGTGCGCTGGCGCTGATCCTACCAAAAAAAAGGAAGCAACTTGTGGTTCACATACCTTTGAAAGATGCTTCACTAGCTCCTTGAGAAGAGGCTGTCGTGCCATGACCTCCTGCAACAATGAATACTCTTAAGAACCCTTCAATAAGTGATATCGTGTATTCCTCTTTCCTCATTTGGCAGGAGAGACTAGAGGCATTGTTTGAGGGCCTACTGCTTATGACCTGCTCCAGTCATAGATCATTTCTTAGTGTTTCACGGTTTCAATTTTGAATCGGATTTATTTATGTTGCAAAGCACATTCCCGTCAAAGCATCGAATCTAGACCATTTTCAGGTATGACAGCGTCTAATACGGCATACGGAGATTCTACAAATTCATTCTAGCGGGATATCTCAAAAGTCATTTTTGTCGTGACTGTACCCTCAAAGACTCCCTTGCGAGGAAAAAAAGGTGCAGCGTTGACTAATCGTAAATGGACTCACTTGAATTAATGATGGCTTTTTGGTTACTGCCACAATCGGAGTCGACGAGGTTGTAGCTGATTGTCTCTGTGCCTTATTGCCTAAATTCGAAGCCATGCCATCTGCATACAGGCGTGTTTGAGTGTGGAAGATCGACGATGGCCTTTGAGGATTGCTTATCGATACCTAAATGAGCTGGCTCTCAATCAGTGCCCAGTCAAGCGAGAATTCTGAAAAGGAACATCTCTACTTTAGCGTAGCGTACTTTTGAAGGTGAAATAGGAAGAGCTGCAACAGGTGACGAAGGTGTTTTCTTTGAATCAGTGGCGAAAGCGAACGCACCACCATAGGAAGAGTTTCGAGATGCACGAAGCAGAGGATTCGAAGTCGATGTGGGCCCCATGAACAGCTTTGAAGGTTTGAATGCCTATAAAAGGATTTGCATCTGAGTTGAAGTAGGATTTGAGGGCAGATGCCTACCTGGTTATCGGCTGGATCGAGTTTTTGAATCGCAGTCAGACGTATGAAATTATCGCTGCGTGGGCGAATCACCTCCAGGTCTCCACCTAAATTGAGATTTCTACATTTCAGTTGTGTAGTGATGTTCTGAAATTGGTCTGCTTCATACTAACAACTCCTTTTCACGTCGCCTCATCCATTTTTGTTAAAGGAGGTGTAGCGTCAACCTCTGATGTACCCTTCGAACTTCTCGTCCTACTTACAATTTTTGAGTTAAACCTAACCCACACCGCTGCGCCCACTCTACCGTCCTTTTTGGAGCTGGCTGTTATCAGCGAGTCTCATCATTACTTTCTAAAAATCTTCAAGGCTTCAACTCTGTACCTCACACCTTACACTTTATTATCTTAACTTTAACAACCCATCTTCAACATCCGATCAAAGACACGGTTCACGATAAATTTGAGTCGGAAAAGGGAGTATTGGTTGGGTGAAGGAAGCGAGAAAATTTGCCGATTTTGCAGAAAATAAGGCCCAAGAGTCTCAAAGTAGTGAAAAAGGGGGCTGACGAGATTACCATTATGAAAATGACATATAAGGGGTGATTGCGCGAGATCACAGTTGATGCAATAGCGCCGAAAGCTGATTAAATCAAGCCAAAACTGTTCAGAATTGCCTTTCACTGTCGCTATGAATCATGGCAAAATGAATCACGAACATCTTACATGAGTTTACTTGAGTATGGTTCCAGCCACTTCAATATCGTTGAAACTCGTCCGCGCATACACTAAGGATGCTTCCACGACTTTTACGGTGATTTGAGAGCCGTCTACAACTGTTTTGAAGCAATAATTTGTACGTCTTCAAACTTTTTCCCGAAAGTTCTGGGACAGTATGCCTGAGGATTTTGATATATGAACAACAATGGTCCCCCAGAATCAGCCTGCACTCACCACACGCTAGATCTCGTCCATCTCCGTCGACGATATTCGTATTTGTTACCGCCACGGATTGCCCTTGTCGAGTCGATGTTTTAATAAGAAATTTTGACGGTAAAGGTGAAAATCTTAAAAGATCGCATAATATCATACAATTCAAAAGCATGCAATGTGATCTCTTAGAAGTGTTTCTTTTTTAAAAAAAATCTTAACGATTCATAGAACTATTCACACTTTGTACTCCCCGGACTCGTGGAATTTCATTTTTTATCATTTTTTTATTCACTCCGTGGAAAAACGAGAGTGGAGGTGCTCCTTCATAAGTTGACGCTAAATTTTTGATAAATTGCTTAAGAAGCTGAACCTTATCGGAAGGCGTATGCGATTCCAACCAGCGAAGGTAACACCGCTTTGCGTCCAGATCAAGTTCTCCTCAGCACCAAATTTTTGATACACGGACAATGCAGATGAGTCGCTGAAAAACGTTTTTTATAATTTTGAACATGACATAGGGGAGGCGGTGCAATGGCAGCTGGCGCACTATTGCACATGTACTGCCTGCGGTTCGAATCCTAAATCGATTCTCACCCAAGCAAACTAAACCTTCCATTCCTCCAGAATCGTCAATAGATACGGGGCTCCTCTGACTGGTGAGAGCTTCAAGACCCTACTTGTACATCAGCTAAACACCGCAACTCACTGTATAGGCCACAAAAGCTTCAAACCATCTCTACAACTTTGAATGAAGCTCGAAGGGGAAGATTATTGAGAAAAAGTGAAATTATCTTACGGTTAGCAGTAAAATAGATAGTTTCTAGCCGTTTTTCCCTTGCCAAATGCTTTTTTGGCAACCCTCCAAAATTTTTTTGGTGTAGTTGCAGGGAAGAAATTCCCGTTTCATCTGTTAGTGAAATTGGCACACCAATGGCTTACTCATTAGTTAATAATAGATTCCGATTCGTTGGTGCTTATTTCAAAGGTCCAAACATAAAAAACATTGCTCGGGGTCCCTTTTGATGCGTATAATGGATGTTTTGGCACCTTGAATCACGATTCCCTGGTAACGTCGAGCCTCCCTTTGGCAGAATGTTTTCGGTCATTAGAATGAGGAAGAATACCGCCTGGTAACGTTTTTGATGTGGAGTAGTAAGGTGGCAGATCCCCCGTGGTGCGAAAATCAAATCCTGGATTGATTCATCAGGTCCACCCGCCTTCGGCTTCTTGATACTAGACGTGTTCAGCTGAGTATAAAAGCACTTACCAGAGAAGGGTAGTTCACTTGTCATGGAGCTTTGAAGGGAGACCCAGATAAATCGATAGAGTTTTGAAAGCTATTCACAAAATATGGAATTAGGAGCTGCAAAATGTTTTAACTGAAAATTTGCAACGGAATCGTATTTACAATTGACATTACTGCCGAGCTAGTTTTCAGCACCCATACGTTTTTAGGGAAACCATTTTGCAGTTTTAAATTCAAAAATCGTGAACAGCATTCGAAGCGCTGTCGATTTATCTGGGCCTCCATTCAAAGTTTCATGGTACATAGATAAACTACCCCTCCTTATTGAGTTGACCATTTACTGTAAGCCACTGTTAAGGCCACATAAAGAATAAAGGATAAAGCTCTTAGCGTTGATCAATCCCGTCTGAAGGATGCGCCCCGCACTCGACTTCCATTCAGAATCTCAGTGGCGTAATGAGTGCGTGTGTGGCCTACATATGCAATGACTTGCGGTGGCCAGCCGATGTTCAAGTCAGTGCTTTTATCTTCCCAGACAAGTATAATACCAATTAACCGACCCCGGAGAGATGGAAGGCTTGGTTGGCTCAGGCGGGCATCGATGCGGGATTCGAACCCCTGACCGTGCGGCAAGGGTTATGGTCACATAGGCATTCAAAACGCCACAACGATTCTCACAGAAGTCAGATGGGTTTCACAAATGGAATTGAGTAACGTCAAAAGTCTTTATGCATTGGCCATGTAATGTTTGCGTTTGTTGACCCACCTGGAGAAGCCTTCGGGTGATGAAAATCGGAACAATAGCGCTCAACGAACCTCGCTTGTCCTGGTGATTTCGATAGCTGAGACACCACCTTACCCTCTGCTTCTAAGTTCGCTCGTAGTACTATCAAAACCCTCGCTGCCAAAGTTGACGGAGACGAGAATCCGACGCTAGCACAACTTAGAATTAGAAACTATAAGCGCTCACTGACCTCATGGACATGTCGAATTCGAAGTGCGCGTTCAATGGTAACAGGACCGGTTCGCTTTGGAGCCAAGCTTCAGATTGAGCTTCAGTGATAATCTTCCCATTTATGAGTTTCCAATTGGCAAATGTCCTGAAAAATCTCAAAATGGAGTAGAAAAGGATCAGGTATTGCTACTTCTCATCTGTTAAAGCAGCGTTGGTAAAAACAGGATGCCCTGTGAAGTCGAAGAGCTTTTCCCAAACCCTACGAAACTGACCATGAACATGCACTCTCCTTGAACGAACATTTGACTTTGCACCGTGGCGCTGTGTTTTGCCGTTTACCTAAAGTTGACTTCATTAGTGATAAGAGACTACAGTAATCACTCTCGATACGGTAGTCTTCAGGCCTGCGATTAGGTAGCTGAGCAGGTGGCGATAATTTCGATTAAAAATTTACATAGCTCAAAGTTAGTGGTATCAAGGATCATACCAATCATAGGGGAATGGCCGATTTGTGTTGGCGATCGTCTCAGTTCACGGTCCGCCATCAACGTTGCCGAGTCCCAACCACCACCGCTGGAATGCCTTATTTCTGTATTGCTCTCTTTTTCGCTGATTTTTTGCTAAGAACTTAACGACTGTTCCGTTTGTAATGCTGAGTAACAGTGGGAAGTAAGAGGTGCTAGCGACTATTGAAGGGGAACAAATGGTTTGGAAGGGGAGTCGCCACTGAACTCATTTTCTCGACCTCCTATGGGTGCGATATTCATACTGTTGGACGAGCTGGAGAATTTGAGAGAGAAATCAAAGAATTTATTTCACGTAACGTATCAGCCGCTAACGAAGAGGAAACAGGAACGCCACTCTTCAATCCAAGAATCAAAGATTAGCAATTTTGTGATGACCGTTGAACTAGGGCCGTTACTGATTAAATTGCTCGGCATCTCAAAGGAACGCCATGATGGCGATGGTCAGACTACTTCACTGAGGTTCCGAAAGAGAATATTATACTTCTTGTCCCTCGAGCGAGGACGATCCACTCGACCACCCTGGCTCGTGATAGGGACGAATAGGGGCCGTTAGTGCCGCTCGCAAGAAGAAATCGATAGTCAATTGGACGACAAGTGATACTGGTGATGTGATCATCACAATTGTGGGCGCCCTCTGCAATTGTTAAGATTACTGGTGGAGTGGTATAACGGATGTGGGTCGAAAGACGCTGTCTGGTTAGTCACGCTATGCAAAATCGGGTTACCGCGTGCAGCACATGCCCTACGTATGCGGTGGCTGCATATGTGTGTCAGAGGTGGCACTTCCTGACCCATATCCTCCACCGGATGATGCCTTTTCTAGGTCGCTCTCATGTTAGCAAACAACCGATACGTAGGATATATCTTACGAATCTAATGGCGCTGCAGACATCACATTTTTCGCTGTCGTTCGGAGAAGCACATCATCTATCGATATGGTATCGAAGCCGTCACGTAATTTGTTGACACGAAGAACGATCTGAATACAGACAAACTGTAAGAATGGCCTTATCTTGTATAGCTATTCGAATGAAAATACAAGAGATAAAGTTGTTTGACGTTCAACAATCCCGTTTTCGGGATAAGCCCTGCGTTCACGCTCCATTCAGAATCGTCATGGCATGATGAGTGTATTTGCCCTTCCTAATGAATTATTGTATACATCTCAGCTCTTTTATTCTCCCAGAGAAGTCTGACACCTCACGTCATGCCGGGGGATGAAAGGCTCAGTTGGATTAGGCGGTGAAGGGTCGAAACCTGGTCCCGGGATCTCCGCTACATGGTTGTCATTGCAAAGGGCGCGTCCTGGTTGCTCGCTCTGAAATGGAAATTGAGTGTGAGGAGGTAAATTATTACCATATGGAGCCATATGCACTTGTCATCCGGGGATGCAATATTGGGTCAACCCCTGCCTAATTCAACCAAGCATATGACTCTCCGAGTTGACTGAAACAGGCTTGTCTCGGAGGATGAACGATGGAATGTGCACTGACCCGTATACTATCATTCTGAATTAAAGAGAAGTTCAGATGAAAATTGTTCTCAAAATTCCCTCTAGAGTGATGTTGTGACTCCCATGAACAGCGAAAAGGAAGCGGTCGGGTTGGAAAAGGGTCTACATAGGTCGTAGTAAGGTCCTCAGAACCGGCCTAGCCGAAATACATGCCGAAGGCAGACGAGTTCTCACGGCGTTGTAGGAGCTGTAAATGCTGCACCATTCACGCCACGATGCACACGTTGCGCGCAGGCAAGTTACCCTAACCAGCTGTAAGCAATGGTACACACATTTGGATAACTCGTCCACAACCTCTTCCATGCAACTTTTGTCGTAACATTTTCGTAGAACTCAGATCTTACTCTTTTCAAAGCCTTATATTTTACTGAATACACAAATTTCCGCATTTCTTGGCTACTTTTGCTCTATTCCATACTATTCCTTTGATTATTCGTCTAAAACTATAATAGATAATGGATAGCTCAAAATTGTAGTTAACGAAGTTGAAAGCTCGAGAGAAACTCAGAGCTGGATTAGTTGACACCAAACTTCTGCCCTCCATCTTGAATGTAGAAGCAAATGATACGAAACCAAGAATAAGAAGTAAAAGCTGAGAACTGGGCGGGATCGCCTGAAGTTACAAAATCTCGTCGGGTTTCGGCCATGCAGTGAATGAGCTTATTAAATGTGGTGGGTAAAGTTATTGCACTCGTGTAACCTACTTACTAGTTATTAGTTCAACAGCAGTTAGGGGAATATTTGCAGACTCAAGAAAAAGGGTTACCTGATATGGCTCAATGGTAGTTGGTACAACTAGGGTTCGACGAATCCATAACACAAGTGAGTTGGTTGAAATCGTGTCCAGAATTCGATAAATTGATCCTTCTTTGATAATTATCTGCAAAGAAAAAAATAAAGAAGAAGAAAATTCATTCCGACCCTTCACTCTTCTTCTACGCACGGCTTTGCCGCTTCTGAACATTGAATAGCAACCCATGGAACATCTACATATGCCGTCGAGTCATTTCTTATTCAAAGATTATGAGTAGATCGGTGCCAAACTTAGCTGGTAAGAGAAAGCTTGGGTAAGATTTCTCCGTGTTCATAATCAGAGATGAATGTGGAGCTTAAACATAAGTCCCACTTTCTGTTTCGATGGGACGACTTATACGTCGCTTCGGATATGTCAAATAGGTCCTCGAGGATTCGTGAAAGAAGTGCACATTCTCGAAGGGGAAGGAGTGGAAGAAGAGGGAACAAATTTACACAAGCAATGGTCAACAGTATTCATAGTAGTTTGCTGTTACCGGAACCCATTCATCCCTCGAACTTGAAAGTCATTCACAATTGCGCAGGACGGACGCAAGTCTCCAACAGTTTCAGACAGATTGTATCATCTCCATTCGAGGTATTTCTGTGCCCAATGATTTTCACAACTCGGAATTTTTGTATGTAATACCTCTGCTTTCGTACCAGAACAAGCTTTTTGACAAGCTGAGGAAACAGAGTATTGGAGCTCTACGATCGAAAACCCTACATATACTACCATCGTTCATCATAATCAACCATCACCTGGGATTAACTACGATGAGTACTATTTGAGTCCCCTTCCACGCTTTGGGGAACATTAGCAGCCACATAGACATGTATGTAGAATTCGTTCGTAGAACCTTTTGAACCAGAGATTGAAGAGCACTTGCGGTAGCCACCTAAGCACAACCAGATGATTTTCGAAGATGGCATGACTTCGACATTCAGTTTCAACATTTTGAAGGGTGAAGGAGAGTTTCTGACACTTCTACCCATTTAACTGCCGTGCCCGTTTGGGTATCTACCATTCGGAACAGGAAGGACATGTCATTTTTCTAGTTCTTCCTTCCGAAGTCCAAGCGCTATTCGTCGGCTGAATTTGTATGAAAACCGGCTTCGATAGTCCGAGAGAAGCCTTCAAAGTGTTCCGCCGACTGCTGTCAAATCCTTGAGCAAGTTCTTCACACACTGCTTTTCAATATGCAAGTTAGCCATTTTGTGGACTGTACTGCTGCACAGGAAGGCAGACATCAATGGAATTTGTGGTTCTGGTTACTTGCGTACTGGAATTCACGAACATTCCACGTGAGAGCACTGCCTATCATATCCGTACGGCCTCCTAACCCTGTGAGATAAGCTAAGTTACTAGTTATGTTCAGCATGCTACTATTCCTCTTGTTCCGGTCGGACAATTTCGAGAAAAAAAGCCCACGTTGTTCTGTATTTAAGCTCTCATAGGAGTGAAAAGAGGAACATAATGCAAGTTACTCTCGCCCAAAGGTTTCGAGCTCATAAGCTACATGATGAATGAGAATACATGGTAATATCCGCCGAATAAAATCAGGAATCAAAATCCGTCAAATTAAAGAAACTGTTCACGATAATTTTGAGGTACCCTTTCTGGGTTGGTTGAAAACCGGAAGCGTTGATGTAGAGGAGTACATTGGTGGCGGAGAAAGCGAGAAAATCTGCCTACATCAAGGCTTTTTGAAAGTAGTGGAAGTGGTGCCTGTACGAGATCAAAGTAACGGCAATGGCATGTAAGGAGTGTGTGGACGAGATTTAACTCACTCCCATCGCTCAAAGAGACGACTATATCAAGCCAAATTTGTCCGGTACTGTCTTTCACTGTCGTCATGGGTTATGACGGTTATGACAAGTTGTTCAATTTTCCTACATGGGAGTCTCTTGAGATAGTGCAGCCCCTACAAAGCTGTTGAAAGTCGTCCACGATAGGAACATTCTCTGGCACCTTATTGTGCCCTATCCATGACGCTTTTAGACCTTGTAACGGTAGGTATGGTATAAAAGGGATCCTCGAGTTAATAGTAAGGAAATCCCAGAAACCTTTTCTATCGTGAACTGTGTCTTTACAATCAGATGCCTCCGCGATGGTCTAATGTTTGATAAAAACCCTCAAACCTGACAAGTGGAACATTTCTTGTCTTCCACTAGCCAAGGCAGATAGGGAGGGAGGGCCACCTGATTATGCTGACACGTGTGGGGATGAAATGAGACGATACTGGAAAGTTACTGATGCCCGCGAGAGGGAACCCGTAATAATGGGTGAATTGTAAGGTATATGATGTTGCTAGCGGTAAAATAATGCTAGAGAGGAAAATGTGAGAATGTCGGTTATCAGAACTGGAACAGGAAAGGTTTGCAAAGGAAGTTTTGCCGTTGACGTACCTGTAAGTTAGCGTTGCCTACAACTTTGGTGTACTTGAGAGACAGAATACTTAAAACAGGTGAAGGTTCCACCAGAGGGCTAACGAGGTCGGCGGTCGTATTTGATCCGAAATGT